CTTTGAGGAATCTTGATTCTACACTGTGGATTTCCAGAGACAGACAAATCTGCCTCGGGAGATGTGTGAGCCGCATGCGTCTCCTCGTACCCTGGGCGTGCAAGTGCCGTCCTACTCGTGTCTCCCTGACCCCTGATCTCGGAGACCCCACCCACCCACCCTCCAGCCTCCTGGCCCCAGTCTCGTACTGAGCAGATGCCCCAGTGACCCGAAGGCAGAAATCCAAAAACATAGCAACAGGCCCTGGGTGCATCCCCCGGGTGCATCCCACACCACCCTCTGATGCCCTGCATACCCAGGTGCACCCACACCACCCTCTGATGCCCTGCATCCCCCGGGTGCATCCCACACCACCCTCTGACGCCCTGCACAGGCGCTGGCCGCACTGAGGAGCCACCCGCCTGTCTGTTACCCGAGCTGCTGCCAAGCCTGCCCAGGGCCTGCTGGGTTGCCCCTGTGTGTGGCATGATGCGGTGCCTTCTCCTCCCCCAACTCGGGGCTGCCTCACTGTCTCAGGGATGTTGGGAGGCCACCTCACAGTCCGATGAGGGCTCCAGGCTGGTGCCCGTCCGCAGTTCGGCGGGGAGCAGACAGAATATGGCTCGTGTCCCGCACTGCTGACCAGGTCCAGCTCAGTCAGCGGCCTCTGCCTCCTGCAGGAGGGAGAGGTTCCTTCTCCCACAAGAGGGGGGTCTGCAGGACCTGGGGTGAGGGGGTCCCCTTTAACGTCCCTGCCCTAGCTGGCTTAGGGGTGTCCCTTAATGTCTCCCCCACTAGAGCCTCTCCCCTCCAGGGCCCCCAAGGCGACCTCCAGCACCCATCCCAACTCTCACCCCACCCTTTGCATGCCTCGGGCTCTGTCCATGGTGCTGAATGCTCCTTCCTTTTCCTGGTCCAAGAACATTTTCATGCCCTGGGGCATCCGTTCGGTCATTTCCTTCCCTGTCTTTTCATCCGCAGGGAGACGTCCTGCACCTCAGTGTGTCAGTGTCTTCTTGGGGTCGTCTCCAAAGTCAAGGGAGATGCACCCCAGGCCGTGCTTTGGCTCCTGTGGACTTGTTTTAACTTCCTTCCAAGTGAATGTGCCTGTCTGGTCCCCCGTCGGCCCTTGGCCTCTTTCGGACTAGTGATACTGAGCTTCCCATCACCCCCTTCCACAGATGTGCTCCATCTGAGTCCACAGAGTCCATCTGGTGAAGTCCGTGTCTAGCTGACGGGCACCTGTTGAAAAGAAATGTTTGCGATGAAGAGTTGTTGGCCTTGCAAAATTCTGTCACGATTTCTGACGTCTTCCATAGATTCTGGGGAGCCTATCCACCAGTCACCGGATTCTATCTCCCAGCTACCCATCCTTTTGTCATTCCAGGCACCGTGGTCACTGGGGCATCTGGACTGCATGCTTGATCCCTCCCAAGCCACGGAACTGGGAGGCTCAGGACCACGTGCCCTGACCTCTGGTCAGTGCTGACCCATGGAGTGAAAATCAGTCCCAGAACCCCTGTACAGGGCTCTATGACGGAATCAACTCAATGACAGTGAGCCTTGGATTTGGTTCTCTCTCTCTCTCTGCCATCGGGTCCATGCTGACTCATAGTGAGCCCCTGGACCCTTGTGGGTTTCTGAGACTGTAACTCTTTACAGGAGTAGAGAGCCCAGTCTTTCTCAAGAGGAGCTGCTGGTGGTTTTGAACTGCCAACCCTGTGGATCTCAGCCCAAAGTGTAACCATTGCATGGCAGAGGCAGAGTGGTTCAACGCTGGGCTCCTAGCCACGAGTCTTAGCGCCGTCCGGCCCCTGCCCCAGCCTCCCTCTGTCACTCGGTCCTTATTGTCTCGGACCCGGGGCTTATGCTTGCCGGCGCTGCGAGGGGCAGGCACTGAGTTTTGCCCGAGTTTGAATGTCCACACCAGGCTGGGCTGGATCACCATGACACCCAGCTCCTGGACGTGGTCCACCACGTCTTGGCCCCGTAGTGGGGGGGCAGAGGTTGAGGGGCTCCAGTCTGCCTGGTTCAGCATCAGCAGGAAGAGAGGGGCCATCGTGTGAGGAGTTAAATTGCAGGAAGACCTGCAAGTCCTGAGTGGCTGAGCCTGAGGTGGTGAGGGGCAGGCCTTCCACTCTGTGGGCGGGGTGGTCCCCTGCGGGCCAGGCCCTGGATGGCTGGGGAGGATGGGGGGAGCCCTGCTCTGCCTGGGCTCCAGCAGCCTCTGTGTTGTGCAAACACCCTGAGCACTCTTGTACCTTCCCGCTCACGCAGCCGGACTGTTACATGAGAAGACGGCCGAGTTTGGGAGCTACCCTTTTTAATCTGAACACAAAGGGATCCATGATGGCCGGCAGGCCTGGGTACAGAACACAGAGCCCCTTGGCGCCGAGGGTCAAGCCTCCGCGGCCCCGCGAAGAGCAGCGCCTTGGAAAGCCTTTGGCCATTCCACTCGGCCCTGAAGACCACTGTGGGCAGCATGGAGGCCAAGGCAGTGGGCTCGGGGTTTTGTGGTGGTTTGTTTGTTTGTTTGTTTGTTTTATGAAACAAGTGTCGGTTCCCCAGAAGAAGGTGGACAGGGCCCGAGCCACTGAGGGGCACCATGCCCCACTCCTGCACCCACCTCCTGCTACCCCTCCCTGCTGGAAGCCCCTCTCTGGGGCCCCAGGTGCTGGCTCAGCCCCCTCCAGGCAGACACTTCCCAGGCCCGCTGCTCACAGGTGACCCTCATCCTGGGCTCTCTCACAACCCCAC